ACACCTACCTTGTTCTTACACTCACTGGCCACTTTATTAGAAACACCCACCTTGTTCTTACACTCACTGGCCACTTTATTAGAAACACCTACCTTGTTCTTACACTAACTGCCCACTTTATTAGAAACACCTACCTTGTTCTGCCACTCTATGGCCACTTTATTAGAAACACCTACCTTGTGCTTCCACTCAGCGGCCACTTTATCAGAAACACCTATCTTGTTCTTACACTAACTGGCCACTTTATTAGAAACACCTACCTTGTGCTTCCACTAACTAAATACTGTTTGGGTGACGGTCCACTCTCAGCGCAGCAGTGACGCTGTGTGCGGCTGTAGGACGAGTGTATCAGCTTTTAAATCTAACAGAGAGACTCTTACCTGAGATCAAAGAGGCTCTGAGGCTTTGTTATTAAACTTCATTTGTTTCTTGTCATAATGTTAATTATTTGTTATACAAAATGAGTCTCTGCCTGTTAAATTACAGAACCATTAGAATCCAGTTAGGATCGGTACAGCAGTATTGAATTCTCAGAGAGAGAGAGAGAGCGAGCGAGAGGGACAGAGAGAGAGAGCAGGTCTGCGACTGGACTGGCCTGTGTTATTAACAGCAAATGGGATTTCTACAGGAATCAGTGAGCTGGTCTGATAATGGGCTAACACAGTTCATTTAGCAACCAGACAGAAAACGTGCTGCTCTGTCTGCTCTCCCTCTCTCTCCCACTCTCCCTCTCTCACTTTCTCATCCACTCCCTCTCTCTCTCTCTCATCCACTCTCTCTCTCTCTCTCTCTCACTCTCTCTCTCTCTCATCCACTCCCTCTCTCTCTCTCTCTATCTCTTTCCCTCTCTCTCTCATCCACTCCCCCTCTCTCTCTCTCTTTCATCCACTCTCTCTCTCTCTCTCTCTCTCTCTCTCATCCACTCCCTCTCTCTCTCCCTCTCATTCTCTCTCTCCCTCCCCCCCTCTCTCCCACTCTCTCGCTCTCTCCCTCTCTCTCTCCATCTCCCTCTCTCTCCCACTCTCTCTCTCTCCCTCTCTCTCTCATCCACTCCCTCTCTCTCTCTCTCCTCTCTCTCTCTCTCTCTCATCCACTCCCTCTCTCTCTCTCTCCTTCTCTTTCCCTCTCTCGCTCCCTCTCCCCTCCCTTTCTCTCTCCCTCTCGCTCTCTCTCTCTCTCGCTCTCTCTCCATCCCCCCTCTCTCTCTCCCTCACTCTCTGCCTCTCAAACTCATGCCTGCTTGTAGAGAATTTCAGTTTAATTGTTTAACAAGCTGATGCTCGATTTCCAGTTAAATAATCAAAATGATCTTCAATAATATCAGCAATAGCAATATAAGCTAAGCTATCAGCAAACGAGTCAGTGCAGATCCACACAAAGTAAACATGCAGAATTTCACACTTAGTCCAGCATCTCTTGAGGGCTCAGCCTGCAGCGTCATGGTTTAAAAATAACATTTAAACTTTAATAAATACAATATTCAACAAAAAATCACTGATTTCTGAAATTATTTCATGAACGACAGTAACCATTTGATGGTTTTTAATAGATCAGCACTACTGGAGTATTAAACCTATGGGCTCAAACGTGGCTCAGCCAGATCTGTTATATGAGGAACATAAACAGCACTACCCATAATTCACCGTTTCCTGGGTAGGGCCTTTTGCGATGAGAAGAACCAGTGATCTGAAATCTTATATAATGGATAATCATGATTTTTAACTAGAAAATAATGTGCTGATTATTTTATTTTTAAATTTTTTAATAATTATTTTATTGCCCAGGTCCACTCAGAGGGATAACACAGTTCATTTAGGAACCAGACTGTCTACTCTCTCTCACTCTCTCTACCTCTCTCTCACTTATGGACAGGCTACAGTACACGAGAGCAGTCAGGAGGTCATGAATTATGCATTTATATGCACTCCTGTTTCTCTTAATTAACACTCACCAGGATTTCACTCACATGTACAATACAGGACTGTTAAATACACTGTGGTGAATAATTTCAATAATGTTTACAAATATAGTTTATAATAACAGAATAAAGCATTTTTAAAGAACTCATATATGAGTCAATCCTGAAGGCATTTATATTTGGTACAAATGGTATAAAATTACTGTATGGTACACATGAGCAACTGGCCACAAAAGGGCTGCTTTTAGTGTGAAAAGCTTATAAATCAGGTCCCTTTACGACTTCAAGACTAAAAGTGTTGTAATATGAGTAATAAAAGCTAAAGTTTAAAAGATCTGCTGTCCTTTAGGGTGGAGACTGAGGGCTGAAGCTGCTCCAATGAACTGTATTCTGTCAGCTATAGAACGGCAAACAGGCTTCTCTGTATATTCTGTTGAAACAGTTCGGCAACATGTGGCTCCAGAGCTGCATGCGGCTCTTTTACTGCCCTGTTGTGGCTCCACAGCTGAATCAGATTAGTAGGTAAAAATAAAATAATCCTCCTTTACAGTAAAATAAAGCTCTGCTGATCGTTCAACACAGTTTAACAATAAATGGTCTTAAACTCTGGAGTTAATGTAGAACTGCTAATTCACCCTTTAACCCTGAAGATCAGCTCAGACTGCTGGTCACCATAGCAACACTGACAACAGTCTCGCCTAGCTAGTAGCTAACGAAATGGCAAAGTGAGAGATTTAAGACGGGCATTGATGATTTGGAGACGAATGGAGTGTTTATAATCACTCCAGATGGTTTCCTGATACGTTTAATGGGCAGCGAGAAACTCAAACACTAAAAAGTCATGAAGCTGAAGTCATTTTCTCATTTGCCAGCTTCTTGTTTGAATTGTCCCGTTCCACCTTAAATAGTGCAGCTCTTACATTCTGGCACCTCAGGTACCATTTAAGGGGGAACGGGAAAATTCAAACAACAAGCTGGCGAATGAGGAGCGACTTCAGCCTCGTAAAAAGAGACATTTTAAACAAACTGTTCTACTTTCGAGTTTGACTTTTACTGAAAGGACAAAATGGCTCTTCTTAACATTTGGGTTACACCTGAGTTAAACACACTTCGAACCAAATAACAAACCCTGAGAACTTCGCAAATTTAGCACAAATGAAGTACAGGTCCAACAGAACTCAGACAGACCTTCTGAAGTGAATTCAGCAACTTGCTGAATGGACCCCACATTCAAATGACAGAAACGAATGAATATCTCAGAAACGAATGAAGACAGAAGCCTCAAATGTCTACTGGGCATAATGACATTATTTCCTGTAAGAATAAAGACAATCTGAGGAGGTCAGTTAGGAGCTTTTTCTGAATTTTGGTAATTTCATTTACAAACTCACAACGTACTGGGATTTCCAATAAAAAGAGCCAAATCAAGAAGACAGAGAAACCTTAACAGTGGGAGAACAAGAGTAAAAAGGGAGAGAGAGTGAGATTGAAAGAGTGAGGGTGCGTAAGTGAGAGAACAGATTGAACTCAGAGTATCTCTGATTAAAGCTGCTCTAGTCGAACGCTCGGCCGCTCGGTCTCTGTCCCCTGTGACGAAGATTCAGACACATTCGATAAGGGCAGAGACGGAGAGCGAAACACTCCTACCTCAATCTAATAACACCCAGAAAACGCCTCTACAGCGCAGAGGCAGAGGGGTGAACACAGAGATACACACATCCATAGAGAGACAGATTGGCATATATAAAACTTGTAAAATCTAGAAATAATAAGTCAAATACAGCATGTTCAGAATACACATATGTGTATATATATACATATATTATATATATATATATATATATATATATATGAACATAATGTAAGTGCAACAAAGTGAGTCTTGAAGCCCCTCTCTACTCATTTCCGTGATTGTCTTCTAATCATTATTATTTATTATTATTATATAATATTATTATTATATTTTTTTGATGATTTTAATATGAACTGGCAGAAAAAGAGAGATTTCTTTGAGAGATTTTTCAAATTTTCTGCAATTTTCTTCGGTTGGGTCTGAGTTGGGTGGGACTAGATTTTGCACAGACAGACAGAGGCATGGATAGCCAGACACATACATAGACAGACAGACAGACAGACTCACAGATAGACAGACAGATGGACAGACTCATGGATAGACAGACAGACAAGTAGACAGAATCACAGATAGGCAGACAGACCTATAGATAGACAGACAGACAGACAGACTCATAGATAGAAAGAAAGACAGATAGACACTCATACATAGACTCATTGATAGACAGACAGATAGACAGACTCATAGATAGGTAGACTCAGACAGACAGACAAATAGACAGACTCATAAACAGATAGACAGATAGACAGGATCATAGATAGACAGGCTCATAAACAAACAGACTCACAGACAGACAAACACACAGACTGACAGGTAGACAGACAGATAGATAGATAGACACACAGACTGACTGGTGGATAGATAGATAGACAGACAGACAGACAGACAGACAGACAGGCTGCTATGGGAGAAGTATGTAGTACCAGTGGGAGGAGCTCTGTTCCCCTGAGAGGCAGGTGTGCCTGCTGGCTAACCAGTAAACCAGTTCAGCGTTTCCTTGACTGACAAACTGGGACAAAACACACACACACTCACTTACACACACACACACACACACACACACACAGACACACACACACACACACACACACACACACACACACACACACACACACACACACAGACACACACACTTGTGCTCCTCAGTTTGAGTCTGAACAGACGTTAGCAGTGGTTCCTCCTTCTGGGTCTTTAGAGCAGTCATCTCCTGTGGAGTTCAGCTCTAATCTGACCCTGATCAGCTAACAGGTGTCTACAGGTGCTTCTGAACGCTGGAGCCAAGTGTGGCAGACTACAGACAGGTGTGTCAGATTACAGACAGGTAAGTCAGATTACCGACAGGTGCACTAGATTGCGGCTGGAGAGAATCTCTCAGGCTGGAGATTCCTGCACCAGGTTTTACACTCAACACCTTCACCATCTTTCATTATCCAGAACAGAGACCCTTACCTGGAGGCCCCTGGAGCTTGGCCTTCTTCACTGAAAGAGAGGAGAGAACATCTGGTTAGAACACAAGTATAAAATACACAACACTTTAAAAAGACTGATAAAAGATCCTCATATCACACCATCTGGAGGAGTTAAAATAAGACACTGCAACTGCACTAGAATTATGAAAGGTGTTAGGGTACAGTGTTTGAGTGTAGATGGGTTTTTAGGGTACAGTGTTTGAGTGTGGATGGGTTTTTAGGATACAGTGTTTGAGTGTAGATGGGTTTTTAGGGTACAGTGTTTGAGTGTGGATGGCTTTTTAGGATACAGTGTTTGAGTGTAGATGGGTTTTTAGGATACAGTGTTTGAGTGTAGAGGGGTTTTTAGGGTACAGTGTTTGAGTGTAGAGGGGTTTTTAGGATACAGTGTTTGAGTGTAGATGGGTTTTTAGGATACAGTGTTTGAGTGTAGAGGGGTTTTTAGGATACAGTGTTTGAGTGTAGATGGGTTTTTAGGATACAGTGTTTGAGTGTAGAGGGGTTTTTAGGATACAGTGTTTGAGTGTAGAGGGGTTTTTAGGGTACAGTGTTTGAGTGTAGAGGGGTTTTTAGGGTACAGTGTTTGAGTGTAGATGGGTTTTTAGGATACAGTGTTTGAGTGTAGAGGGGTTTTTAGGGTACAGTGTTTGAGTGTAGATGGGTTTTTAGGGATACAGTGTTTGAGTGTAGAGGGGTTTTTAGGGTACAGTGTTTGAGTGTAGATGGGTTTTTAGGGTACAGTGTTTGAGTGTAGAGGGGTTTTTAGGGTACAGTGTTTGAGTGTAGATGGGTTTTTAGGATACAGTGTTTGAGTGTAGATGGGTTTTTAGGGTACAGTGTTTAAGCGTAGATGGGTTTTTAGGATACAGTGTTTGAGTGTAGATGGGTTTTTAGGGTACAGTGTTTGAGTGTAGAGGGGTTTTTAGGGTACAGTGTTTGAGTGTAGATGGGTTTTTAGGGTACAGTGTTTGAGTGTAGATGGGTTTTTAGGGTACAGTGTTTAAGTGTCCCCAGGCTTTTTAAGCTAGAGCTCTGCAGTGTAGACAGGTAGTTTGAGTAGTTTTCTAGGGTAGAGTTTTTAGCATGGGTGGGTTTTATAGCGTTGGGCTTCTAGTGAAATAACTTTTTTTTGGTTAGGGTTTAAGGTTTTGTTAGGGTGGACAGTTTTTTAGGGTAGGGTCTTTTAGTGTAGACCGGTTTTTTAGGGGTCTTATAAGGTAGATGGACAGCAGATGAATGAAGCCCAACCGTATGAGATCCTAGAAAGTTAAACAGAGCTAAGCTCCTCATTTCCATGCAGCAGGGTGACAGGATGCTGATGAGGTTGGTACGGGCACTGTTAGCTCATAAAGTCGTTAGCAGGCCGCGTTTGAGGTGGACTGGCTGAGAAATGGCCGATTTCTGGGATGAGGGAAATGCCCAGTAGATCTAGAGTGGACTGGATCAGGCAGGACGTTTCAGAGCGTATGGAGAGCCAGCGTCCGGCCTGAGTAGCGTGCCCTCACACACTGTCGCAGCAGCAGATGGCCAGAGGATTACACTGATTCTCCCGTCCCTCCCCCAGCACCAACATGGGAATCCACTCTATCTAGCCTTCGCTTACTTAGTCTCCTCACTTACTGCTCTGTGTGGGTTTGTAAAGCTCTAGATGGTTCTTGTAAGCTGTAGGCTTCTACAGAGTCCTCTCTTATGGGTAACTGTGTGGAAAGTACAGTAAAAGTTGAGCTTGTGGTAAACTGACATGCTTGATTAAGCCACAAAAGTGTGGTTAATGTAGTAAGAACAGATGAAATTGCGAATGTCACATTAACTTTACCGTTCAAGAGTTTGTAGTCACATAGCCTGGTGCCTTCTTCTCCAAAGCCATTTTGCCTGAGGTGCGAGAGCTGAGACGTGATGTTTTACCCGATTTTACTAAATCATTAAATAAACACTGTTTTTAAATTGGTGATAAATGGGGCTCCCGAGTGGCACAACCGTCTAAGCGTTGGCCCTGTCATCAGGAGATCCCTGGTGATGCCACAGCCGTCCGTAGCCGGGAGTCCAAGAGAGCACAATTGGGCTCGCTCTCTCTGGGTGGGTAGGATGACCCCTCCTCCGCCCCCCATCACTCAGCGCGATGCTAGTCAGCGCAGGCGTCTGTTAGCTGACGTAACAGATCTGGCGGTTGGAGCTTTCCTCCGAGCGTGTTTAGCTGTCCAATGACGTTGCGTGAGCGGCAGTTCGAAAAGAAGCGGTGGCGCTTCACAGGTCTCGGAGGAAGCCTGTGTTAGCCTTCACCCTCCTAGCGTTGATAGTATTGTGTGATTGAGGGAGTACTAACTACAGGGTGGAATTGGCGACGACTAAATTAGGGAGATAATTGGGTTAAACAGCCCCAAAAAAAATGCGATAAATGAGTTTTTAAATGTCATTAAGTGCAATCATGTATGTATAACCTAGATAACTAAACTAAAGTGCTCATATTTTAGAGATAATATAAGAAGAACCAATTCAGTGGAAAAGACGACTGTGCTTGGAAGAGTTAAAAGGTAGATAAAATTAAAGGGCGACCAGCAAAAAGATGGATGGAGACAATCAAAGGAATGATGACCCAGCCATTAAGAAACCTGAAGAACCAAAGAGAAGACAATCTGGAGAAACACTTCCCATACGGTCAGCAGGAGTCAGAACCCACGGTAAACAGTAAAACAGCCCTGAATAAAACTGCAATAAGAAGAAAAACTGTACATTTAAATTCCAGAACTGTTGCTTTAAGTCACTCCTGTAAATAATCAATAATCAGCTGTTCCCAAGAATAATCACAGATTCCACTTGCTGTCTCGCTCCAGTTCAGAGATGATGAGCTGTCACACATCCCCAAAGGCCTGAGAGACGATGCGATGAAGATCTTTCTCTCTAACCAGCCTGATAATGAGGAATAAAAAGCCGCATTGTTCTCATTGTCTGCTGATCGCTAAATATCCCCCATCTGACGAGATGTCACAGTCAGCCTCTGTTCATCTGCACTCGGTGTGACAGAAAACTGAACAGGCCAGAAGAAAACGGTGGACAAGGCTGTCACTCCACCTCGGTCTGCAGGGTTTTGTGTGAGACTCCAGACGCAGAAGAGTAAGTACTGTTCAAAATTTATCAGGATCCTGATTTCTGAACCCTGCTTTTCTGTTACAGTATGTCCTAAAGTATCTTCACTGAAAAGCAGTGACCAATAGAATGAGAGGCTTGGGAGTAATGCCAAGTGTGGGTTAGAGGGGTATAAAGCCCCCCAGCACTGGGCTGTGGAGCAGTGGAGCTGCATTCCCTGGAGTGACGGAGCTCCATCCAATACCTTTGGGATGAGTTGGAGTGATCCAGAACTGACCATCCAACATCAGTACCTGACCTCACTAATGCTCTTCTGGCTGAATGCAATCAAATCCTCACTGCAACATCTATTGTAAAGCCTTCCCAGAAGAGCAGAGGCTGTTACTGCAGCACAAACTCACTATTACGACCCTTCATTTCAGAAGAACGTTTATAGGGCAGCTGCCTACAGCCTATGGATGTATACACCCTTTAATGAGTGTTCTTGAAGGGTTCTTTACTAAAGGGAACCTTTTCTACAAAAATAAGGGCACATTCTGAGTAACGGGCTGTTTTTCAACATTTCTGTGGTTCAATCCTGCAAATTCAGTCAAAAACCTTTAAATTACAGAACAAAACACCATCTTAGATCATATTCCAAACCACACAGGCCTCATTTTCACACCCAATTAAGGAACTTGATTAAATGACTGACTGATTCGTTAGGTCGAATCTCTCAACCACTGGATTAACTAATTGCCTGACTGATTGATCAATCGATTGATCGATCGATTGATGATGGATAGACTGTCTTCCTCACCAGTAGAATTTATTGATATAACCTTTGATTGACTGATTGTTTGATCCCTCACCAATAGGGACTGACTAACTGAATCCTTCACTCATGGGGTCATCGAGTGATTGAATCTTTCGCCCATTGGACTGACTGACTGACTGACTGACTGACTGGCTGATTGATCGTCTCCCTCACCAGTGGAACGTACTGATAGAACAATGATTCACTGTTTGACTGAATGTGTCCCTGACCCGAGGGTGGACTGATTGAATCCAGTCACGGAGTCGTCAAGTGATTGAATCTTTCATCCATTGGACTAATTGATTGATTGGTTAATTGGTTGATTGATCGATTGTCTCCCTCACCAGTGGAATTTATTAATAGAACCGTTACTTAACTGATTGAGTGAATGCACCTCTCACCAATGGGAGAGGTGAGAGGTGAACTAACTGACTGGCTGACTGACTGACTGATCGATTGATTAATCAATCAATCAATCATAACCCTCACCAGTTGAATTTATTGATAGAACCATTGATTCACTGATTGACTGAATGCACCCGTGGAATGGACCAACTGAAACCTTCACTCATTGGGTCATCAAGTGATTGATTGAAAATCTCACCCATTGACTTGACTGATACGCTGGTTAACTGAATAACTACTTGACGATCTGATTGATTGGTTGACGGACTGACTCCCTTAACCTTTAGAATGACACGGTGATTGGTTGATTGACTGACTAGTTAACTGGTTGGTTAATTGACTAAAACCCTTGATGTTTAGACTGAGTGATTGATTATTTGGCCAATTTACTGAATGACTGGTTTATTGATTGACTGGTTGATCGATTGACTGATTAAATCCCTCACCTTTGGACTGATTACTCCATTGCATCTCTCATCCATGGGGCTGACTGACTGACTGACCGATTGATTGGTTTTATCGAGGGGTGCACAACTCCAGTTCTGGACGGTCTGTGTCCAGCACAATCAACTCAAACACACCAACCAAGCCTGACAGTTAACAGACGAGAGTGATCAGGTGTGTCTGAGCAGGTAAATCACCAAACTGTGCCGCACCGCTGGTTTAATCACTGACTCACTGACTGAATGTCTTATCCATGGGGTTGCTTGACTAACTGACTGACTGACTGACTGATTTATTAATCGACTGGTTACGGCTCTACAGATTTAGCTGATCTCCATCATTACTGTAAATACCCCTGATACTGTCTTCCCTCTGTCATCCCTCACTCACTCACTCACTCACTCCAGCACTGCTGAAGATCCAGAGCCCAGAGCAGAGCAGTAACACACTGCTACCACCACATTACACACCTTTACACACTCACTACACCCCATTTACACACAACACACACCTATTATGATAAAGCATCACCACTGTAAACCTTCTCAGAAATACAACCTGTGAGTCTCCATTACACAGCGTGTTAAACAGGACTGTAGATTCACCTCGCATAGACACACAGGTCTGAACTCAACATATATCTGTGTTTATATTGTAAATAACCTATTTATAATCAATAATGCTACCATGGGAGGGAAGAACAGTGTCTGGGTTAAGTTTTGAGACGTCTATGCTCTTAAACAGCATTTCTGTGAAAGTTAGTTTAGCACTCAAGTGAGTTTCTTTCTTGGTCGAATTCGAATTTTCCGTTCCACCTTAAACGGTGCAGCAGTTCCATTCCGGCGCCCCTGAGGCGCCAGAATGTAACTGCTGCACCATTTAAGGTGGAACGGCAAGTTCGAATAAGAAGCTGGCGAATGAGAAGCTCTCGTCTTTCTGTGTCCAAAAACCACAGAAATGATTAAAACCGCTGATAATAAAGTTAAAAAGATGCTAAATCCCGAAGCTAAAAACTTTAGCTCCGCTCGCTCGGGTTAAACAGTCTCCTCACCTCGGACACACAGGAGTGACATAACTCCGATTCTCTCCGCTCCTCCACAGGTTGAGACTTCAGCTGGAGTGCAGTCCAGCCGTGAGGGTCATCTGGCGTCTGAAAAGCGGACGATAATCCGAACAAACCGGTGAAAACGATCCATAAAACCGACTCATGATGAGGAGAAGCGGGCAGATCTCCGCTCCCCTCAGAGACTCGCCGCGGAAAACTGTAGCGCGAGGGGGTAAGAAGAAAAACGGTCACTTGTTATTGACAGGGCCAGCAGCCAATCAGCTGCTCCGCTCGGGTGAAGTGGACGGGACGTGGGGCTGATTTGACCAATGACGTCCTGAGACTCAAGACCGTTAATGAAATATCAGAGTTTCAGACTCTGGTTCGTTATTATTCTCAACTACACGAACGAAAACTGGAATAAAAGTTTAGTTTGGCCTCTTTTTAAACTGTTAAAAATAAAACAATATTGATAATAAAATAATTGCGTAAGTAAAAAGTGATAACACACTAATGAATAAGCAATGATTTGGTGATTATTCGAGAAATAATAATGTCTTTTTTTTTTTTAAAGAAAACAATATTAGTCTGAACTATACAAATGAAAACTAAAATGTATATCGTTTGGTCCTTTTAATAATTATTAACACCAATAAAATGTATTTATAACAATAAATAAATGTATATTAAATATTAATAAATTGATATCATTTAAAAAATAAGCAATAAATTTGTGATTAATCTAGAAATGTGAGTTCTTAAACAATCAAAATAATATTTAAACTACACAAACTAACTATTGGCCTTTTTTACATAACTATTAAATCTAATAAAATAAAAATTCAATAATTGTATTATAAACAATTGATATCATACTAAAGAATAAGCAATGATTTTACGATTATTCGAGTAATTTGAGTTTTTTAAAAGCAAAACAATGTAATACCAATCTATACAAACGAAAACTGAATAGTATTGTTTGACCTTTTTAATAGTTATTAAAAGTAAGAAAATACAAATGAAATAAATGCATATAAAGTAATTGATAACATATTTATAAATAAGCAATTATTATGGTGATTAATCGAGAAATTCGATTTTATTTTTTTTTTCAGTGAAGTGTTTACTGAAGCCAGGATGTCTGTTTCAGAGCAGAACTGCATCAAACCGATCTTTATCAGCCCTCCTAGGGTGGTATTTTGTTATTATTGGTCTCTAGAGAATCGCTGGTTTAGGGCTGCATCCAGGGCAGCGCGGTGCCGTCCTGGGCGGTGTGCCAGCAGTAGTAAGCAGCACCGGCAATAGAGGCGCACTCATTCATTCAACTACTCATGGTGCAGTGGCGCCATCTAGCGGAGCATTACGCTTTGACATCACACCACATTACATGAGTGGAACTATTTCAATGGATTTAATAGTTCAGTTGATTCATTGCGCGTTCTTTACATTTTTGCATCGTGAACTCAAATTAATCCAACTTAATTTAGAAAAGTTGTTAAACTAGTAGCTCATCATTTTTCTTTAGAAATAAAGACCAAAACCCATCATCAGCCAGGAAAACAGTTTCTAAGCATCATGTTCATGTTTTAATGCGTTTAAAGCAGAACATTGGCACAGTTTTCGACTTACTTATCTTATTACCAGCTTGATTTTTCTCAAAATGTGAATAATCAACACCTATGTTATGCTTCCCCTCACTGGCCACTTTATTAGAAACACCTACCATGTAATTCCACTCACTGGCCACTTTATTAGAAACACCTGTCTTGTACTTCCATTCACTGGCCACTTTATTAGAAACACCTACCTTGTACTTCCACTAACTGGCCACTTTATTAGAAACACCTATCTTGTACTTCCATTAACTGGCCACTTTATTAGAAACACCTATCTTGTACTTCCACTAACTGGCCACTTTATTAGAAACACCTATCTTGTACTTCCACTCACTGGCCACTTTATTAGAAACACCTATCTTGTACTTCCATTAACTGGCCACTTTATCAGAAACACCTACCTTGTACTTCCATTAACTGGCCACTTTATTAGAAATACCTACCTTGTACTTCCACTAACTGGCCACTTTATTAGAAACACCTACCTTGTGCTTCCACTAACTGGCCACTTTATTAGAAACACTTGAGAGAGCAGTGTGAGAGTATAAAAATACAGTATCATCATACAAACCAACTAATCACGGCTGATTCATTAAGAAGATGAATCTTAATTGATGATAATATAATTGTTTAACTGTGACAGCAGTAAAGACTTCATACACGCTGTGTGACAGTGAGTGCTGAACGTCCAGCAGGGCTGCTGTGGTCTGGACTGTTACGTGAGAATCGACCCGGATTTAAATCATCCATTTATCTCTCACACAAACACACACAGCTGTCCGATCTGGTGTTCTGCTACACACAGTGCGGCTCACACAGCAGCTGATTTTGGTCACCCTGTTTTATTATTATACATATAAAGATATGCAACATATTTGGCAACACTTGAATAAGCAAAAGAGCTTTAGTATGGAAATGGTCACCCACTTGTATAAGGAAGGAGAAAGTAACACACAGAGTTTCCAAAACTTAAAAACTGCCCCCATCAGATAAACAGCACTCAAAGCTTTCATCTCTGAGAGAGAGGAGAAAATCAAGCTGCTTCAGATCTGAAAACATCCACAGGTGTTTCTGTCCATCCTTCCACTGTGAGAAGATGACTCAGCGCTGTGGGTCTGAAAGGATGTGTAGCTGTCAAGAAGAACCTCACTGAGAAAAGGAGACAAACATATCAAACAAAGAAGCTGAACAATGGACTGACCACCCCAGAGTCCAGACCTCAAAACCACTGAATGTGTTTGATTACTTCAGAAAATCATCAACCAGCTTTCTAAGACTGAACTAACTAACTAACTAACTAAATAAATAAATAAATAAATAAATAACCTGAACTGAACAGCTGCTGCTTTGAATGGGAATTAAGTAAACCAAAGCGGGTCTCTGACTTTTACACAGTACTGAATTTTTTGTACAGTTTTCTATAAATGTTTAAAAACTGATTCCCCATGCTGGCCACTTTATCAGAAACCCCAGTCTGTAGTCCTTTATCAGTGGTCTGTTTCTGCCCTCAGAGCCTCACAGTCAGTAATTATTCACCCATATAGTGAAACTACAAGGCAGCGTTTTCAGTGAAGTACATTACAGTGGTGTTAACGTTTTACACGATTAACTTTTTCATGTTTTTCAATGTTTTTTTAAATAAATAAAATTCCTAACAATTTTTTTTCTTTTAAAATCATTTTCAGACTCCCCATACGGAAATATGATATATGGCAATATATGGGTTTCGAATGTATGATGTATAATCACATATCCAACTTACTTTTGCCACATGTAAACATACAGTTGTGTGAAAAAGTGTTTGCCCCCTTCCTGATTTCTTATTCTTTTGCATGTTTGTCACACTTAAATGTTTCAGATCACCAAACAAATTTAAATATTAGACAAAGATAACACAAGTAAACACAAAATGCAGTTTATAAATGAAGGTCTTTATTATTAAGGGAAAAAGAAATCCAAACCTACAGGGCCCTGTGTGAAAAAGTGATTGCCCCCTAAACCTAATAGCTGGTTGGGCCACCCTTAGCAGCAACAACTGCAATGAAGCGTTTGCGATAACTGGTAATGAGTCTTTTACAGCGCTGTGGAGGAATTTTGGCCACTCATCTTTGCAGAATTGTTGTAATTCAGCCACAATGGAGGGTTTCCGAGCATGAACCGCCTTTTTAAGATCATGCCACAGCATTTCAATCAGATTCAGGTCAGGACTTTGACTAGGCCACTCCAAAGTCTTAATTTTGTTTTTCTTAAGCCATTCAGAGGTGGACTTGCTGGTGTGCTTTGGATCATTGTCCTGCTGCAGAACCCAAGTGCGCTTCAGCTTGAGGTCACGAACAGATGGCCGGACATTCTCCTTCAGGATTTTTGGTAGACAGCAGAATTCATGGTTCCATTTACCACAGCAAGTCTTACAGGTCCTGAAGCAGCAAAACAGCCCCAGACCATCACACTACCACCACCATATTTTACTGTTGGTATGATGTTCCTTTTCTGAAATGCTGTTACTTCTACGCCAGATGTAACGGGACATACACCTTCCAAAAAGTTCAACTTTTGTCTCATCAGTCCACAGAGTATTCATCAAGATGTTTTCTAGCAAAACTGAGACGAGCCTTTATGTTCTTTTTGCTCAGCAGTGGTTTTCGTCTTGGAACTCTGCCATGCCGGCCATTTTTGCCCAGTCTCTTTCTTATGGTGGAGTCATGAACACTTAACTGAGGAAAGTGAGGCCTGCAGTTCTTTGGATGTTGTTGTGGGGTCTTTTGTGACCTCTTGGATGAGTCGTCGCTGCGCTGTTGGGGTAATTTTGGTCGGCCGGCCACTCCTAGGAAGGTTCACCACTGTTCCATATTTTGGTCATTTGTGGATAATGGCTCTCACTGTGGTTCGCTGGAGTCCCAAAGCTTTAGAAATGGCTTTATAACCTTTTCTAGGCTGATAGATCTCAATTACTTTGTTTCTCATTTGCTCCAGAATTTCTTTGGATCGCAGCATGATGTCTAGCTTCTGAGGATCTTTTGGTCTACTTCACTTTGTCAGGCAGGTCCTATTTAAGTGATTTCTTGATTGAGAACAGGTATGGCAGTAATCAGGCCTGGGTGTGGCGGGGGTTGGGGGTGGGGGTCAATCACTTTTTCACACAGGGCTCTGTAGGTTGGATTTCTTTTTTCCCTTAATAATAAAGACCTTCATTTATAAACTGCATTTTGTGTTTACTTGTGTTATTTTTGTCTAATATTTAAATTTGTTTGGAATGCCTGAGCCTTTGTGATATACGTGTCCATTTATCAGATCTCTGTACGGTCCACTTCAAAGAAAAGCGCAAGGCTGGATTTTTCGTGTGGAAACGGCGCCGTCTAGCGGCAACACGAGGCAGCGCCCGGGTCTTTATGAGGTCCACAGTGTGGATCTATAAATATCACGGCTGTTCAGTGAGTCAGATATTACATTATATTACAAATAGTTACATCATACGACATTACCAATAGATGCTGAGGA